AAAGGAATTGCGCGTGCGGAAACCCGCCCCATGGCGTGGCAATCCCTAAGAGGCGCTTCCCGAGGCGGAAAACTGAGATAGACAAGGCTTTCATGCTTCGTTGTGCTTGGTCGAGCATCGTGTGTCGGCAGGCACGGAGGATACACCTGTCACGTGACCCCTGTCGTCGTGGGAAAAACCAGATGAGAGACCGGATACAGCAGAGAGCCGGTCGCCTGAGAGGTGTTTGTCTTGCACCGCTAAGCGCGGATCGTTTGAGCGCTCGCAAGTCTCGCGGCGAAGGAAGCGGTACCATGGAGGCAGAACATTCGGGTTTCGAACCTTTTACGTGGGCGAAGCCACGTCATTACGAAAGTATCACGCGGCTGGCCAGCTACTTGATAGGGGTGGGCTCTCCATCGAAAAGGGCGGCGTAACACGGATCAATTGGCTGCCAGAACAGTCTCGAATTTTTAGCGGGTCTATTCACTAGACAAACGTATATGCGAACCGCCATCGCGCAGGTGTAGGAGCTCGATGTTTAAGATGTTTTACCGTCGACGTCAGTGGGATCAGGTCAGTGTAATTTGTGTATGTGGGGTTCGTGAGTTGCAGAAGGCGAAGCGTGCTGGTTGAAATTTACAGGAGTGAATGCCACGTGTTGTGATAAGGAAAGCCGCTGTCTTATGTAGTGCACGTACACGTGCGTGCTGCGTGCTGTGCGTGTTACGTACACGTGCGTGCATGCGTTGCGTTGTGTGCGTTTGGGTGTGCGAGCGACGTGCGTTGCGTGGGTGTGAATTAACGTCGGCGTGCGTGCTCACGACCCGTGCCGTGTTGCATCGTAAACGTGCGTGCGTTGGACGTGTGTGCGTGTGCACGTACACGTGGTATGGATGACAGCGGTGCCATGTAGTGTGCCACGACGTGTTGTGCTGTGCTGTGCGTGCGTGGCACGTACACGTGACGTGCATGAGATTGTGCGCGGTGCGAGTGCGTGTGCACGTACACGTGCCCGTGGCTGGGCGTGGTTCGTGTGTGTGCACATCAACGTTCGCGAGCCGTGCGTGTGTCCAGCCTTCTGCTCTACTGGAACATGAGATAGTTGGTTGGTGTCAGTGTTATAGGCGATTCGTAAAGGGCACGTGGGAGATGCCCGACTGTGTGTAGGCACGTGATCCGATATAGGTCGTAATGTTATAAACGCTTGCGTGTGTGTTATTCACTCTCTTCACCCGTTGTTTCAGTTCGTGCTTTGCGTTCGCTGTGAGGACAATGTCGACTTGCGCTCTTGTGCGAAGCCGTAAGGCGACATGTAGCGCGAGATACGACTTTCACCAGGTAGACACGTAACACACGTATTTGTGTGCAACAGACTAGGATGGTTTATATTTACTCCGCCCCCCCCAGAGAAGACAAAAAAAAAAAAAATGTCACTAATACGAGATACGTAATGTTTTTACAGCAATATAATTATCTTCTACTTCTTCAACTACGTGTGCTTACGTGGGCTGATTGGAGGCTTCAGGGAATATACTACGCGTGCGACTGCGATGGCTAACTAAGCTATCTGGCTTCCCGGCGCGCGTTTGGCGGTGTGTTTGATATCACTCGCGCGTGGTCGTGTGAGTCGATCGGTCGATTAATGGTGGCGGGTGGTACGCGCTTCGACGTTAATTGGCATGGTGCGGGCGGGCGTTTCTTTTTATCTCTACTGACAGAATAGTGTCTGTGGGCTATGGGTCCGACCCGGGAGAATCTGACGCAGACCAGCTGGGAATAGATTTTATATGTGAACTTGATATCAAACCAAGGGTTCACCCTGACCGAAGGGATTTCATGTAACCAAGTGACGGATGGTTGGTTGGGTCTTCTACGGTACTTGCTTACGACTATTTTAGGCACGCCACAGTACGCAGGTTATGAACTTTCACAGGACGGCTCGCGATGGTGCTATTCCTAACGCGTTCAAGTTTGGCGAATAATGTCAGTCGCGCTGAGAATAGTCTGTGTTGTAGACTCTTATATCCTGACCGCGCTTCAGGTTTAGCAATGACTGGATCATCGCGCTGACGAATATCCCACAAGCTTTTCGCGTGCAAGCCTGCCTACACGCGCCCGTCTGCCGGGAATTCGGTTGCTCGATCAACGCCGACAACCGCCGTGTTCTCAAGATGTTCACGATCGGTTATAGTAAGTAAAGTTAACTAATACGGTGTATCGTACCGAACTAACAGAAGGTGGAAAATCGTTTACCAGTTTAATTTCATAACACGTAGTATACTCCGAATCAGGCATTTTCTTTAACATAACTTCCTTAACTAAACGCGCGTGTTATAACAATCTCAATCATGTTTAAGTAACATAACGCAATAGTTATCATATTACTAATGATCATCGTTGACCATACCTGCGTTGAAACGTTAAATCGCTTGCGTAAACAAATCGAATGCATGCGCGGCTACAAAACATATGATAATCCAGTACCATGAATCATCGTGGTAGTCATAACGACGTTTGATTCGATATTGCGTGCTCTTGTAAACATCATTAGATTGTGCTCAGCTCTACAGCGTAATGGTAATTGATTTATCAGCTAATTATTTAATAGTCGAGTAAGGTCATTGCATACCTATCGCCTTATCTTATCCCGTATGGAGCCACCTATCTTACTGCGCTTTCCATCATCGCCGACCTCCAATGTACACCAGTGGCTTGAAGCAGAATTACGACAGCGGAGATTTCGATGCGCGGAATTTCATACGAGTGAAGAGGAAAAGAAGATGTGGAGGCGGACTCATCGAATTCACGGTGGGCTTGGCTGGTTCAACAGAGGACTTCAACGCAGAGCGCATTATCGGCGCAACCGAGTCAGGCGGAGAGCTCATGTTTTTGAATGAAGTGGAAAGGCAGCAAATGAGGAGCGCGTAATTTAGGGCCAAGCCCGGAGAGTAGAGGTATGACTCTCAAGCAGGATTCTTCGCGTGAGGCCACTGAGGTACACGTGCGTGCGTGCAGTCGGCGCGCGTGTGGAGACGTGCACGCGTGATACGTGTCGTGCGTGGAAGTGATGGTTGAGGCGCAGGACGGAGCTCGTCAGAGGCAGGGCATGCGCAGAGTGCTGCGGGTACTGCTACGACTGCAGTGCATTTGGCGTCCGGTGCGTGCGTGCTGCACGTGTACGGTGCCGTGCATGAGTGATCTCGACGCTTACGGTGACCAGGGTTCCTCAGGCCGCCGGTGAACAGGTCTCAGGTTAATGCCTAGCGAAGGGTGTGCTGTGCGTGTGCACGTACACGTGCGTGCGTGCGGTGCGTGATAAACTTTACACGCTCCGTGCATTGGCGCTGATGTGGCGTATCTCGACGTCCGGGTCTCAATGTACCCCGGTGGAGAACGGTCTCCAGGTCTGCCTACGGAGGTCTAAGTACCGGTAGCAGGTCCTCAAGGTACGGTGTACGAGGCTCTATACGGTCTCGGCTCTCCTCTCTCTCTCTATCGTATCCTATCCTCTTGTTCGTTTTTTCTTTTACTCTTCTCTCTCTTTTATCTATCTATCATCTAATCTATTTATCATTCTATCTATAATAGCAATCTATCTATCTATCTTCTCTCTCTCTCTCTCTTCTCTCTCTTCTCTCTACACTGTCTCTATCTCTCTCGTCTCTATTCAATATATTAGTCGCTCATCTCTCTTTCCGGTTCTTTGATTCACGGGCATATTTCGCCCGGTTTCGGTAATGTCAGTATTTTTTGCATCGGGCTAGACGTAATGGCAATTTACATGGATGCTCATGCGCGTTGCGGCGCCGCACTGAGGCGTGCTGTGTTGCACGGCTTACAGTGACTGCCGTGAGCGTGCCCGCGACGTGGTCGGCGAGCAGCTGCCGTGTGCAGAGTACCACGTTTCGTCGCCGGATTTGCTCGGTGGCGTGTGCGGTGTGTGCGTGTGTGCGTGGTTTGCAGGGTGTTTACGTGATTGGGGATGTGCGGCGCGGTGATGATGCGTATGTGGCGTTGGCGGCGGTGCGATGGGCGTGGCGTAGGCGCTAGTCGTTAGAGGCTGTCGCCGTGTGTAGTTGTGGAGGTTGAGGCACGTTGTGGCTTACGTGCGTTGCATGTGCATGACGTTGTAGGGGTTGCGTGCGGTGCGTGCTGTGCTGTGCTTGCGTGGTTCGGTTGCAGTGCACGGGTGCGGACTATGCGTGCGGGTGCGGTCGTGAGTGCGTGCGACGCTACAGTGCGCGCATGAGTGTTGTGTGTGGCCCGTAACGTGAAAGGACGCGTGTGCGTAGGTGGCGTGGTGGTGTTGCGTCGTGCGTGCAAAATGCGTGTGTTGGAATGTGCGTGCTGCTGCGCAGCGATAATTCGTGACGGTCTCGTTGACGGCAGCGATGACGAGCGATGGTAATCGACTTATGCGATGAATGACACTAGTAGCTAGGCGATTGGAGTCTATGTGGACTGTCATGTACGGCAGCCTTGCGGTGCGCGTGTGCTGTGCGTGCGTGGTGCGTGCCGTGCGTGCGATGCGTTGCCGTGCGAGTGCGGGGTGGTTGTGCTGGTGTGGGATGTTTTCGTGGCTGCGCTAGCGTGACGACGCTGGCTCGTGCGGTCGTTGTGGTTGTGCTGCGTGCAGTGTGCAGTAGCACGCTGCCGTGGATAAAGTGTGTGTGACGGACGGATCGAGAGAGTGTGAATGTGTGTGTGCTGCATCAGCGCTGCGTGCGTGGTGCCGGGACGTGTGTACGTTACGACCTGCGTGCCGCGGACCCGCGTGGGTTGATGTTTCGAGTGTGATTGACGCGTACTTTGCGATCGTGAGCTGATGGAGAGCAGCTGTCGATGCGATCGGCCGTTCTTACACGTATTTTAGACGATGCATCGGCTGCTGCTTGCAGAGATTTTTACGAGAGATTCAGGAGGGAGATGAGGAGATGATGTGCATATGTAGTTATGTAGACAATTGTATTTAATCTCTCTTCCCCTTCCTTCTCCCCTCTCCCTACTTTCACACTCACCTGATCGCATCAGGGAATTGAGCGTTGGTAACGAGAAACGTGGAGATGTGTCGCGAGTGCAGCAGCTGCACAAACTTCCGGATGCGCGGATACATTATCGGTTCTCCGACGAGCGAGAGCGCGCAGTGCTGCGGGGTGGCTCCCTCTATTAGCCGTCCGGGCAAAACGCCGGGAACGCCTGCATCGGGAACAAGTGAACAGCGAAAAAATTCAATTACATAATGATTCGTAATCTGAAGCAGCGAGGTACAGACTAGTGAAGATTCACTCACGAACAATAAAACTTGTTGATAAGTCTGATAAGTCTTAACAGAGTGAAAGGACGTTACGAATTATGTAATTATTACAGTATGTAATTATATCAGGAGCGTATAATAAAGAGTATAGAGAATATATAATCTATATTATACCCTCATGACGTCCTGATTACATATGGCATTTGCATCGACATTCACAATATAAATGTGTTTTTCACCAAGCAGTGTACCTCTAAACTCTTTAATCATCTTGCAGTGGTTGTCCAGCGCCCCCTGTAGGATGAATTCTGGTTCGTCCATCAGCCAGCGCCACTCTGTCCCAACTGGGTTCGTATGATGTCTAGACACAGACGACGAAAATAAACGGATTTTCTCGTCGGAATTCAGTCTCGCAACTTTCACGCTTTACCGAGATACGTGCCGCGACTGTTCCACTGAAGCGTTTACGCATCGTTCATCCTTCTATGCCCCAACCCTCCACCCAATCCACCCACCCACCACCAACTCCATCTACCCAGCACACCAACCTATATAAAACCAAAGGCCATCAACTGACAACACAATTTGAGTCATTCCCTAACAGAACAGTTATCCGTTGTCCAATAACCCCCCCCCCCCATCAAGACGTTTCCACGTACCTCCAGCAGAAGACGCACTTGTTGGCGCAAGCAAGGCTAGGAGTCGCCTCCATGCAGCGATGGCTCTCAATGCCGTAGAACGCGTGCTTGTAGCAGCCGCCACCACCGCGCAGCATCGACTGTAACAACACACGCATCAACACGATGAGAACGCGTGCTTGTAGCAGCCGCCGCGACCGCGCAGCATCGACTGTAACAACACACGCACCAACACGATGAGAACGCGTGCTTGTAGCAGCCGCCGCCACCGCGCAGCATCGACTGTAACAACACATGCACCAACACGATGAGAACGCGTGCTTGTAGCAGCCGCCACCACCGCGCAGCATCGACTGTAACAACACACGCACCAACACGATGAGAACGCGTGCTTGTAGCAGCCGCCACCACCGCGCAGCATCGACTGTAACAACACACGCATCAACACGATGAGAACGCGTGCTTGTAGCAGCCGCCACCACCGCGCAGCCTCGACTGTAACAACACACGCACCAAACGAATAAGAACCGCGCTAGCATGGACCGATGCAACGCATAGCATTCTCCCATTACAAACCATCGTCACAGCTGCGTCGACATAGGCATAATTCTGATCGCACATATGACCGGTCGTTGAGGGAAACGCCGAACAATTGTCCTTTATAGACAGGGGTCTGGTCTATAAACGGGTCGATTAAGCATAACGACAGCATTGAGGATTTAAAATATCGTCGGACTCAGTTCACCACACAAAAAATCAATCGATTTTGAAATAAATCAACAAATTATTTCCAAAATAATTTGCTATTCATCTCAAAATTTATATTATTTTGTATTTTGTCTACAATGCATATGCATGACGTCAATGGCTTCATCCGAGTCCGTTTACTTAGTCACCGCACAGCAATTCACTCCTGAGCTCGAGAACGAGAGCTTTTAACCCTGCTTAGAGAGGGCTTGGCGGAGCGCAGCGGCTTCGCACGTGAATCATTTGCGGTGGCGCCCGTCGTGCGGCCATCGCCACCAAGCCTGCGACCGCCGGTTGCTGCGTTCTTTCTTCTGCTCCCTCCATCGCCACTTCCCAGGTCCTCCAGGTCATGAGTCCTCATCCCTCGCTCATCCCCCTCCCCCTTCGACCCGACTCTAGCCCAGCATCTGCGTTCCTGTTGTCGCCGTCGGCAACCGCATTGCCCGCCTTATCGCCGCGAACAACGACTCGAGTCGCTTTCGCCGCGCCGCCGCGTTGCCGTTGACGACAGGAACGATATCGCACGAGGCTGCGTGCGACGGCGGCCAGCCGACGATCGACACGGGGCTTGCGAAGTCCGCGCGCCGTCCCGCCGTTGCTCGCTTCGCCGGCCACTGTGTGCGTCGCGAGGCGACATGCGAGCAGACGCTCCGCCGACAGTAGGTGCGGAGCCACTCGTCTACGTCGCGCGCGACCGCGTTGCTAGTCAGTCTGCGGTAGAGGAGTGACGCCTTGAGACGAACACGCAGTAGCGGAGTCCGCGAGAGGCCGCCCCCTACGCAACACGAAGTCACGTCGTCGCCTCCTGCAGTCACTTGCAAACCACTGTGCATCCCGCGGCCGGCGGCCTCCGTCTGCGTACTGTCGACACGCTATGAATGCGCGCAAGATGGTGCTGCACCTTCCGAGAAATAAATGCGTCATTTTTGTTATTTTATTACTATTAGTGATTTTATTTTATTCTTATAATTTTATATGAATTATTGTTATTATTTTAACTATTATATTGTTGTTATTATATTTTCGTTACTTTATTACACCGTCAGAAATTATGATTAGATATGATTTTTATTCCGATGCTAATGAATTTTTCAGGCACTGTATGCCGTGTTGTGATCTACATTAATCGGGCAATACGCTGCAACAGCTTCTTATTAATTAATTTCGGACTAATAGTTAACACAAAGCTACTTGCATTACTGTCCTGCCCGTGGCCATAGCAATTGCCATTTGCCATAGAGCCGCCTAATGTCTAATAGCCTGATGTCTGATAGCCATAATAGCTAAGAAAATTCGAAGTACAACGCACACACACGCCACACGCACACGAACCGCCACACGCACACGAACACGAACACGACCACACACGCACAGCAACACATATACATTCGCTACAAGTACACAGACCCAGAAGACAGAAAATAACAAAACCGAGGCGAATTGGCGAATTCCCTCGTAATTAAGCTGCGTTCACTCTCGATCACTTCAGCCGACCGTGCCGAAAAGGAAATGCGTGCGCGAAAACCCGCCCCGTAAGTCACCCTAGAGCGCTTCCGAGCGAAACTCTGACAAGCTTCGGCAGGCACGGAGGATACCCTGTCACGTGACCCCGTGTCGTGAAAAACCAGATGAGAGACCGGATACCAGAGAAGCGTCGCCTGAGAGGTGTTGATCTTGCCCGCTAAGCGCGGATCTTGCGCGCAGTTCCGCGGGAACGTCCTACGAAAGTATCACGCGCTGGCGCCTATTGATCTGTGCGCCAAATCAAAGGCCCGCTAACACGGGATCAATTGCTGCAGCAAACAGCTCTCGAATTTTAGCGGGTCTAATTCACTAGCAAACATATATGCACCGCCATCGCGCAGCGCTGTATAGCGATGTTTTACGTGACGTCATGGATCAGGTCTACGTGTATTTGATTATGCTGTTGTTGTTGGCAGAGCGTTTATTATATTGTCTCCTTGACATTACAGATGAATGACCCATGTTCTGATAGAAAGCCGCTGTTTATGTAGTGCACGGACACGCGCCCAACTTCACGTCGGCTCGCGACGGCGCAACGAGTGCGTGCTGCCGTGCGGTTGACCGTGTGACTACACCGTGCGTGCATGGTGCGGTGTGCGTGGCGGCCCCGTGTGTGCGCTGCTGTGCGGCCTTGGTGTGAACTTAACACGACCACGTGCGTGGTGCGTTGCGGTGACTCGCACGTACACGTCTCGTGCGTCGTCGTGTGCGTGTGCAGCGTACACGTGCGTGCCATGTGTGCGTTGTGTTGCGTGCCGCTGTGCCGGTTCACGGGCACGTACACGTACGTGCAGCTGTTGCCGTGCGTCTGGTGTGCACGTTACAGTGCTGCGGTAGGCTGCGTGCGTTCGTCGTGTGGCCAATACACGTGCGTGCGTGTGCTACAGGCTCTCTCTATGTACATTGAGATGCTGGTTGTATCAGTGTTATCAGGCGTATTTCGTAATGGCAGCTGCGGAGATGCCCGACTGTGTGTAGTGCACGTGATCGTATACGCGTGTAATGTTATAAACCCTGCGTTGTGTATTCATTCATTCACCCGTTTGTTTCCGTTCGTGCTGTTGCGTTTCGCTTGAGGGAAATAGTCAGACTTGCCTCTTGTGCGAACGTAGGCGAGTAGCGAATAACTTCACAAGTAGAGATAACACGTATTTGTTTGAAACAGACTAGTATGTTTTATATCTACTCAGAGGAATCACTACAATACAGATATGGTAATGTTTTACGCACATATAAGTTCTTCTACTTCTTCACTAACGTGTCGGCTAACGTGGTGACTAGCGACTAAACTAACATAAGATGGCTTCGACTGGCTAACTAAGACTACTCTGCTTCCCGGCGCGCGGTGAGGTGTGTTTTTATATCCATGCGCCGGTTGTGTGGTCATGGTGGTGGGTACGGTATATGGTATGGTGCGGGCGCGTATCTGTCTGACGATAGTGTTGTGCTATGCGGCGCCTGGCGAACTGAGCCAGCTGGGAATAGATTTTATACGAACTTGATATCAAAACCAGGGGTCACCTGACCGAAGGTTGCGTGACTGTTGGTGATTGGCTACGCCACAGTACGCAGTTTTTAGAAACAAAGCGGATCACGCGACTGTGCCTATTCCTAACCGCGTTCAAGTTTAGCATAATGTCATGCGCGCTGAGAATATCTTGATGACTTATTCTTGAACCGCGTTCAAGTTTAGCAAATGATGTCCATCGCGCCTGAGAAATATCCCCACAGCTTTCGCGTAGGCCCTGCTACACTCACGCCGTCTGCCGGAAATGCGTGCTCGGCTCAACGCGAAACCGGTGTCCAAAGAGTTCCAACGTGGTTATAAGTAATTTAAAGTTACTAATACGTTACATCGTACACTAACAGAAAAACTTAAACTCGCTTTAACCAGCTTAACTAACACGATATAATCATCAGGGCATTTTCTTAACTAACTTCCTTGAACTAACCGCTGCGTGTATACAATCCAATCATTTAAGCTAACATTAACGCAAATAATCGATAAGTCATGATCATCGACTTAGACCATACTTCGCGTTGAACGTTATAATCGCGCGTTACAACATCTCGACATGCATGCGGCTACAACAATGATAATCATAACCAGAATGATCATCGTGGTAGTCATAACCGACTTGATTCCCGATATTGCATGCTTGTACAACACTCATTAATTGTGCTCAGCTTAACGTAATGTAATTGAATAATAGTAATTTTTAATATCGAGTAAGCCGTCATGCTACCTATCGCCTAATCTATCCCCGCTATGGACCCACCATCCTACTGCCTTCCAATCATCCGAACCTCCAATACACACGTGAGCTTGAAGCAAAATTAGACAGCGGAGATTCGGATGTCCCGGAATTTCACGAAAGTGAAAGAGGAAAAGAGATGGAGGAGGACTCATCGATTCACGGGCTTCGCACGAGGACTTCAACCAGAGCGCATTATCGCCCGCACGGGTCAGGCGGAGAGGCGCTCTGTATTTTCGATGAAGTGGAAAGGCAAGCATGCAGGTAAAATTTGGTCCCAACCGCGGCAAGCAATACTTGAATATCCCCACAGCTTTTCGCGTAGCCCTGCCTACACGTGCGTGCGTGCGTTGCGCGCCTGTGTGCATACGTGCACGTATACGTGCGTGCTAGTGCGTGCGCTGCATGCGTCGGTGCGATGCCGTGTGCCACGTACACGTGCGTGCTATGAGTGTGTGCAGTGCGTTGTGCACACGTACACGTTGCGTGCCTGTCGCGTGCTCGCTGTAAACTTACACGGTGCGTGCCATGCGGTGACGTGACGTCCGTGTGTGTGCACGTCACGTGGCTGCGGTGCACGTGCGCGGCGTGTGGGCGCGCCGTTGTGCAGCGTACCACGTTCGTGCGTCTCGTGTCTAGTGCGTGTGTCGTGCGTGATGTGCGTAGTGCAGCGTACACGTGTCGTGCATGCTGTGCGTGCGGCTGCGTACGTGGTGTGGTGTGCAGCGTACACGTGCGGTACGTGACATGCATGCATGCCACTGTAGACGTGCGTGCGTGCTCGTCGGCGGTGCCTGCGTGTTGCACGTACACGTGCGATGCATGCGTTGCGGTGCTGTGCGTGCGTTTGTGCACGTACACGTGCTTGCGATGAGTGTGTGTGGTGCCGTTCACGTGCTGTTTGGCCTGCAATGGCGGCTTGCGTGCCGTGGGTAGCGTCACGTGCGTGACGTGCGTGCGTGTGCACGTACACGTGCGTGGTATAAGTGCTGTGTGTTGTGTGCTGTGTGTGCCACGTTTACACGTCGTGCTGCGTGGCGTGCGTGTGTGTACGTACACAGTGCGTGCTGCGCTTGTGCGTGTGCTTGTATCGGAACAATATCACGCATCTGCTTGCTGCCAACCGTTAAACTTCCGCATCTGCGCATCATGACCCGTTCAATGTTTATGAAACATGAAACAATCGCTATTGATGACGAATCACTGAAGAAACTCGCTCCGTACAATCACTAGGCGAAACGCCAAGAGAAATCAACGACCCGGCGAAAATATACAGCTGTATGTTACACATACGCAGCTTAGGGCCTGCATAGCCTCCCAAATGCTCCCCCCATCCATTGGTTGATACAAATCACGTGCCTCAAACTCCATGTATTTATGCAAGCATTGTGACCTAACCCTAACCCTATAAACAAAACAAAATTATTTGTCTAGTTATTAAATTGTTTGTAAATAATCTATGTAAATATTTTGGCGTTAATTGGGAAAAAATACGTTTAACATGGGCATAAACAGAAAAATACATAAAACAGGCAAATAATTAAAAAAACAGATGGGATTCGATACCAACGGACAGTTTCACGCCGCTGGCGCCCGTCCTTTGCTCTAAGGCAGTTCGGCTTCATTGATATGATCATTGGCGTTTCTGTTTATGGATTGTGCCTTGACAACACTGCTTGTGGCGTCATTTGAGGAGTTTGAGCACGATTTGTATCAACCATGGCGATTTGAGAGAGGCCACGTCATCGCGAGTAAACATCGTGAGTGGCATGCGCCGTGCGGCGTGCTCATTAGGTAATTAGGGATTAGGTTTAGTTTTCATTATAGTTTTCGGCTGCTTTTGAATCCCAAAAATTTTCAACGATGCTACGATGACATGCTTACCAGCAAACGCTGTGTCAAGTCAGTCACTGTTGCCCACGAATTCAGAGTAGTCGAATTCCCAGTGAATTCCCATATGTAATTTTCTGTTTTGTATTAAATTGCCAGTATGCCAGCGTGCCGCTGCATATATTAACTCAAACCTTCGGTTTGCACAAGGACGGAGCGTCCGGGGGCACCACTAGTCGAGAACGGAGAGTATTATTCGACACATACACATACAGTACTGGTATACTTACACCACTTCACTCCTGCTCACGCCTCTGGTGAACGTCAGTCATAAGTCTTATGAGGTTTAAATGCCAATGAATGTACGACGTTCATTTTAAGTGCCCACACCCATGCCCCCAAGCTGAGAGCGCGAACTAGTGATAAACCTATGGGCCAATTCACACAACGGGGCAGTATGTGCACGTAATTTACATGCAATCCACTCATGCACGAACGTCAATTATTATTAAACAAGGTACAAAATATCAATAAAGCCGTGCCACAGTTAAACTTACAAAAATACGCTACACTGAAATTATCTTCGGCTGATTTTTCTAATGTAATATCAGGAGTGTATAATATAGATATATAGTCTATGACTCTATATTATACACCCCTTATAATAACAGGAGTGAATAATAACAGATTATATCTAGATATATATATAGATTTATTATTATACACTCCTGGTAACACCACAGCGGCATAGCGGCCATATCACGGTAAAATCAATATCTAAAATAATTTACCAACTAATTTTTCTCATTTAATTAAACTCCTAATTGGGGCGTTAATCGCGCTTGTACGATCCTGGGGCCGGATTCATCAACGTTGCGTAAAGTGTATTGCGTACACCGAGTTTCTACGAAGTATCACGCAAAGCTCGTAGGTGCGATTCTTCAACGCAGCGTAGCACCTGCGTACGCAAATGTTGATGTTGATGTTGATGTTGATGTTGATGTTGATGTTGATGTTGATGTTGATGTTGATGTTGATGTTAATGTTGATGTTGATGGTGATGTTGTTGTTGCAGTGTAAATCCACTACGCCATCGTGGCTGCTGGCTGTTGAGGGGCGTGCCTAACATAAACCAATCACACTGGGCGACACATACCATACATAACAAAACTGACGCCTCTCTTGTATTTAAACCATATGGCTCGTCTAGCTCTGTCTACATGAGTGCTGGGGGATGTGGTAGAGTCCTCATTTTCGCTTCTATGATTGCGTTCAACACTCATGAAAGAAGCGACACGTACACGTGCGTGCGTGCGTGTGTACGTGTACGTACACGTGCGTGCGTGCGTGTGTACGTGTACGTACACGTTCGTGCGTGCGTGCGTGTGCACGTACACGTGCGTGCGTGCGTGTGCACGTACACGTGCGTGCGTGCGTGCGT